TTCGGTACAAATATGAACATTGAATGTTACAAGTACGCATTTGTATTTCAGTTAAAGCATTCTTCACATGAAGAAAATAAAAGGAGTCTTCCTTGCAACTATCTAATCTACACACTGGAAAATTTTCAGGTATGATATACCCATTTCCACGGCCAATGCCCTACCAAAATTCACTTAACTAAAAAAATCTAGATAAGATATCCATTTTCCACAACTAGTTTGCAAAATGACCGTTGTCGTACCAAGTGCTGAACATTGTCCTTTTCCAGCAATTTCTAGATACATTCATTTCATCCGTTTTGATCCATTTATGCGACAAATAATTCAGGATAGAGGGAATATAATAGAATTAAACTTAGGTAGTGGATGAAGCTTTTGCTATGCGGTGGCTGTCTTGAGATAACATGGTACTTGATAAAAGATAGCATAGGTTCAACATAGCATCTCCAGTTGAGCATACACACAATTACATCACATTCATCCCAAATTAACCAGACACACCATGGACTCATTACTAACTGACACTAGTACATCACAACAGCTACTAACTAACAGCATTGCAACAAAGCATCTACAACATCATCCAAAATGAACATCTTGACCACATCTTCAGCATGTTAACTTCTGAAACATCACTTCTTCAACATGACCACAACAGCAGCAACACCTAGCATTACCACAACACCAACTAGCATCTTCATGAGCTTCACCAGCTCCCTCCCTGACATCTTCAATGCACAAGCTTCCTGCCTACTCATCCCATAGCTTACTTCATTCTTCACGGCCTTGTTGCACCTGCTTCTGGATGTATTCATCAGTGCTAGCTCCTATGCATTCACAAGTTCCTCCCTTCGTTCCTCCACAACACCAATAGCATCCACAGTGGCATCACCGAGCAGGTAGTATTTCTCAACAAGGTACTCAACGTATTCCAATTCCCAGCACCAGAAATCGCAAGTCACCTATCCCAAATTAGTGCGGCGGAGGTCAAAAACTTGAATCTTTGCTTCAAAATCAAATACAAACCACGGAAATGGAATAAATCATACAGAACCACTAACCCCATGCTTCCGGCATTTGTAAATGATCCACCCGTCGTGCTTCTCAGTCGTCGAGAGGTACATGCGCACCTTCTCCTTGCAGCTGGGGCAGCAGATCAGGGGCAGCGCCAATGCCCTATGGTGGACAACAGAGATGGAGGAGCTTGTGACATACATGAGCAGCAGAGGGAAATAAGAACGGGTGGGATGAAGGTGGTGGCGGTGGCGAACAAGGTAGTGGCAGAACAACGCGCAAGAGAGAGGAGGCTAGGGATTGAAGACGGGGCCGCCACGGGCTATGGTTTTGATGAATTGGAGATTTCTTGCATTTTACACAAAACCCTTCAATGCAAAATTGGCCTAATCAAAGACGAGAACACGGCGGTCAACAAGTGGTCAAACCGAAGAGGGGGCCAAATTTAGATACATTAAAACTGCACACTTTTCCAGTCCTCTCAGGCCATCAGCGCTCCCAGTCGTTTGGTCGTCAATTTCCAGCATTTTCAGCCGCCCAATTAGCTTTGAATCGCGTGTTAGCTCCGCTTCGTTCGCTACTAACTAGCGCTGGCAGTGTTTTTTTTAAAGCAGCGCTGGCAGTGTTGGGCCGCTGCTCCAAGAACAATTTTGGACGTCTGGCATTATATTGGGTTGGGCTGCTGGTTTGTGGTTGCTGGTTAATTGGGCCTCATTGTCCACATTGCCCTTCTGCACGCTAGCTTTCTTCCCCGCCCTCTCGTTTCTCCTGGTCTGAACGCATACCCTAGATACGCCGCCACCGCCTCCCCGTAGCACCTCCACCATTTTACCATGGCGGTGTTCACCCAACCCCTTCTACCCACTGGACGATGGACAAGGAGGGCGAGGAAGAGGAGAAAGACGTGGGTCTGAGGGGGTTCTACGAAGCGGATCGGGAGACTGGATTGTTCCTGTGCCTGTTGCGCGAGGGGATTGTCGCCATGGTTGGAAAGCAGTTCCCTGCTGACTGCGGGGCGCCGGTGTAGCACGCCGGCTCGGTCGCCCGGACAAAGAGGAGGCTCGCGCACCACG